ACACGAGCACCACAATGTATTGATATGAATAAAAGAGATTCAAATCCTTTAGGTGTGTATTTCTAACTTTGATGCTAAGATATATATGCTGATGAAAAATAAAATACAATAGATTCCCTTTCTTAGATGCATAATTGTATGTTAACAGCTTAATTAATATCTCATCGGCATCACGAAAACTTTTGTCAAACAACTAAAAAAATTAAACAATAAGCTAATATACTCATACAAATACCTTAAATTATGTTTAGAATGGACAAATTTAAAATTAATTAAAAAATTTGAAATGACATAATTTAACTGTAGCTGAATTTGATTTACTTGCAAAATTTCAAGTTTAGATCGTTAAACATTATATTGGTGGCAATATTCTACATTTGTTTTGCAACCAAAAATAAATAAATTCTAGCATTAACCTAAGCCTTTCACATGATGACTGACCTCATGGCAAGAAAGTGATGCATCATTGCATTAAGAGTAAACAATTAAATTGAAGCATGTTGAGAAAATTAGGGACACAATAGTCTAGAAAATTAACAAAAACGTTGTTTGATATTGTTGTCCTATAACGAGAAGGCTAGAGTTTACTTTTTAGATTTTCTCTTCCTGATGTAGAATATGTCTGTCTCTGTGATCACTTTGTGACTAATGACATTGCAAGATTCACACTTTAATGCACTATAAAACGATCAGAGGTCAAGAAAAGACGTGTGACACTTTACTACTTATTATGCCATCAATATAAATATAATATTAAAATAATCTAAGCAGTAAGAAAGTCATATACGAGTTTACGTTTATTTATATAAATAGAAACTAAATACACTATCTGCATTAGTTATCTATATATATATATATATCATTTGTCAAAATATACAGTCATTCAGTCATATAAATATATGCACATAACTGAATTACATATAAAATAAAGTGGAGTCACAATATCAAAGACAACAACAACAAAAAAAATGACTTCACAGGCTTTTCCCCTAGACTCATGATCATCAAAAATACCATTTCCTCCAAAAGTTAACAACGATTAAGGATTTTCATTTACCTGTTCTCTCAGTCACTAAAAATTATACATACATATATGTACAAGTTATACTTTACTCGGCCCTAGCTTACTTTCCTTTCCCACTAGGTTCCTGCTCAGAGGAGTCAAAACTAAGAGGAAGTCTGGCATGAGAAGCAGTCTTCTTCCTTCCAGTAGCAGTAGGGGTGTTTGAGCAGTGAGAGGAATCCACAGACTCAGAAAAACTAGAGGAAGTCGAATTAGAAGTGGATGAGATGGAGATGTGCCTGGGTAGAGGTATGTGCGCTATATTGGGTCGTACAACAGGTGGTACATAAGGCCCTAAAGATCTAAGAAAATTCGAGGGTAATATTGGGGGCGATAATACAGGGACAGGGGATGGGACATAGGGTCTCATAAAATGTACTCCAAGAAAAAATGAAAAAGTAAGTTTCATGGGTACCCTGATGGGAATGGGGTATGCTCGTGGGTCTGGCCCGTTTCTATCTAACAAAAAGGTAGTAGTGCCAGTATGGATGAACTATTTTTACTCCTAATCGTGCACGCATCTTCCTTCAGGATCATATATGATTGTGACGCTGAATTGGTACGGTGGTCGAGCCATTTGTATCCTCACCTACTAAACATATTCACATATAACACACATAGTAACTAAAAGGTTGAGACAAACTCATTTCAACCAAAGTACAGTAGAAAACACGTCAAGATATTTACAATCGTCATAGCAAATAGCAAACAACTCAACACACAATATACATGCCATGTATGATTATGTGCATCACCTAGTTAATTGCTATACTAACATATGCATGAGGGCCTAAACCATTTCTTTCTTTCTTTCTGGGAAGGATCAGGAGTTCACTGCCACCAACCATTCTTGGTCATAACCATCTCCTCAGATAGTTTCAAAGGTATAGCTCAACTGATTTTGAGAATCCATCGGGTTCTATAAGGATAGTCTAGTTTTGCAGTGAGAACCGACAGGGCCCAGCTCAATCACATCTGACTATCCCCAAGACTAATCTGGAGTCTTCCCTAGATTTTGTATACTTCCCATCCAACACCACCATCATCACATGCTTATGATGCATGAACCTAATTTCAGTCTTTTAATTAGGTATTAAACATTTCTTTTCAATCAACAACAACATATGTTTCAAAATTCTACCACAATCCGGCAGAGTTTCCTCTATAATTCAAATATTTCCAAATTTTCTTCTCTCTGCAAAACAGGCAGAAAATTCCAATACACTTCTAATTTTAAGCAGAGACTCACCACCACCACATTTCACAACTTTTCAGCCATTTCAATGGCTCTCAAATACCTTTTTCCAATTATCACCACATTTCAAAATAATCATTTAAAATAATACTTTAAAATGAATTAAAATCCTTTAAATTATTTAAATATGTATATAGGTATACTTTAAATATATAAAAACTATTAAATAAATTTTGATCAAACCACTTGAAATTAAAGAAGATTTTAAAAAAAATCATTTTCTTAAGAAGAAAATTAACCACAATTCCATTTCTCAATTTCTAAAACACTTTTTAAAACCCATCAAATTTTATCTCAAATCTTCCCATTTTTTCTACATAGTAACTTTTCTGTCTACTTTGTGCCGTCCTTATTTTCTCTTGGATCATTTTAACTTTCTCCGTAGTCAGTTGAACCACCTCAGGTCCCAAAGTAAAATTCTCCCCAGTTTCATACCAACATAGAGGTGTTTGCACTTCCAACCATATAACGCTTTAAATGGTGCCATCTCGATACTTGAGTGAAAACGATTGTTGTAAGTAAATTCAATCAAATGTAAGAATTGATCCCAGTTGCCTTTATACTCCATTACACAAGCTCTGAGAAGGTCTTCAAGTAATTGAATAGTTCTTTCTGATTGTCCATCAGTTTGGGGATGATATGCTGAACTAAATCTGAGCTTTGTTTCTAATGCTTTTTGTAACTTTTCCCAAAACCTTAAAGTAAATCTAGGGTCTCTATCTGATACTATGCTTGATGGTACACTATGTAGTCTTACTATTTCTTTGATATATAATTGGGTCAACTTTTCTAATGAATAACCAACATTAATGGGTGGAAAATGGGCAGACTTGGTCAATTTGTCAATAATTACCCATATCGCATTATGACTTGCAGATGTCTTCGGCAATCCACTCACGAAATCCATTGCAATACTATCCCATTTCCATTCAAGAGTATCCAAAGGTTGTAACATCCTAGAGGGTCTCTGATGTTGAACCTTTGCCTTTTGACACACCAAGCAAGATGCCACATATTCTGCTATGGCTTTCTTCATTCTGGGCCACCAAAATAATTCCTTCAAATCGTGGTACATCTTAGTGGTACTTAGGTGAATACTTAATTTACTTCTATGGGCTTCTTCCAAAATCATCTTCTGAAGCTCTTCATTTTGTGGAATGCAGATTCTTCTTTGGAATCTCAAAATTCCATCGGTACCTTCCTGAAAATCTTTTTCTTTGCCTTGAATCATTAATGCTTTCTTCTCTTGTATGATTGCACCTTCTTGTTGACCAATGCGAATCTGTTCTAAAAATTCACTAATGACCTTCAATATTCCAAATTTAAGACTCTTTGAAGTAAGTTCCATGGCATATTTAGATCTTTAATCTGCTCCACCAATTCCAATTCAATTCCTGAATCATCATAGTTAACACTTGCAAAGATTTTCTGCTTAATGCTTTCGCTACAACATTTGCTTTTCCAAGATGGTATTAAAGTTCAAAGTCACAATCTTTTAAGAATTCAATCCATCGACGTTGCCTCATATTCAATTCCTTCTGCTCAAACAGATACTTGAGACTCTTATGGTCACTAATTTAGCACCATACAAATAATATCTCAAAATCTTTAATGCAAAAACTACAACAGCAAGCTCCAGATCATGCATAGGATAATTCACCTCATATGGTCTCAATTGTCTTGAAGCATAAGCTACTACATTCCTATTCTGCATCAACACACACCTTAATCCTTGCTTTGACGCATCACAATAAACTTCAAAATTCTCATAAGGGTTTGGAAGTATTAATACAAGAGCAGAAGTCAATTTATTCTTTAATTCATGGAAATTATCTTCGCACTGACTAGTCCACACGAACGGTTGTCCTTTGCAAGTCAACATAGTCAAAGGCAATGCCAACTTTGAAAATCCTTCAATAAATCTCCAATAATAACCTACCAATCCTAAGAAACTTCGGATCTTAATAATTGTTTTTGGTATAGCCTACTGTAAAACAGTTTCAACCTTAGAAGGATCTACAAAAATTCCATCTTTATTGATTACATGCCCCAAATAACCCACTTCTGTTAACTAGAATTCACACTTAGAAACTTGGCATATAACTGTTTCTTTCTTATGATTTCCAATACCACACGAAGATGTTCCACATGTTCCTCATGATTCTTGGAATATATTAGAATATCATCAATACAAACAACTACAAACTTATCCAAATACGGATGAAAAATCTAATTCATGTAATTCATAAATACTACAGGTGCGTTAGTTACACCAAATGACATAACTAGGTATTCATAATGCCCATAGCTTGTTCTAAAAGCAGTTTTTGGAATATCCTCTTTTTTCACTCTAATCTGATGGTAACCAGACTTCAAATCAATTTTAAAAAAAATTGTTGCTCTTCATAATTGATCCATCAAATCATCTATTCTTGGTAGTGGATACTTATTCTTAATAGTCACTTTATTCAATTGACAATAGTCCACACATAACCTCATCATTCCATCTTTCTTCTTAACTAATAACACTGGAGCACCCCAAGAAGATACACTTGGACGCACAAACTATTTGTCCAATAACTCTTCTAATTGCTTTCTCAATTCAGCTAGTTCCAAAGGTGACATCCGATAAGGTGTTATAGAGATTGGTCCAGTTTCAGGGCGTTAAATCTATAGTAAACTTTACTTCCCTTTTTGGAGGTAACCTAAGAATATCTCTGGAAAAACTTCGAGAAAATCACAAACAATCGACAAGTTCTCTATCATAAATTCCTTCTCCCTTTTCAATGAAAGTAACATCATACACATATGAGCTCCTCCTTTCAAAGAAGCATTGACTTGGTTGGCAGATAGAAATCTTAAATTCTCAGGAGATGATTTAACAGGATTAGCAAAGGCTATGGTTTTGTTATGGCAGTCTAATAGAACACGATTGACAGACAACCAATCTAGTTCTAGAATGACTTTTAAGTCAGTAAGGGGTAAACAAAACAAGTTTATAAAGAGGTCTTTATTTTCTACTATTATGGGACAATTCAAACAAACCCTAGCAGTAATAATAGAATTACTACCAAGAGTAGAAACAATCAAATCATATGGCAAAATAGTAACATGTAAATTCAACTGTCTAACACAAACTTCGGAAATAAAAAAGTGAGAAGCTCCTGAATCATACAATACATTGAAGGTGTTCCTATTTATGAAACATTTACCCTGTATCATGGTGTCAGACTGAGATGCCTCCTCCCCATTCATCGCAAAAACTCTCCCTTGAGTCCTCGGTCTTCTAACTTGATGGTTGTTCTTATTTTTGCTACCACCAGCTTGATTGTTCTGGTTGTTGTTCTCTCGTTTCATCTCAGGGCAATCACAAATGAAATGACTTGGCTTTCCACATCTAAAGCAAACATAGTTCTTTTGCAAACACTCTCGAGCAAAATGCAGTCCTCCACAAAGAAAGCACCGAGTACCACTTCACCAACTTTATTGAAACTTCCAGCGAAGTTTTGAAACCTTCACCCACTGACGAAGATCCTTAATACCTCTGTGATACTTGATAGGGTTTCCCTCTCCCTTGAGCATCTCCTCTTCTATTAGGATGGTTCCACTGTGGACCGGAACTCTTCCACTGCGCCTGTTTTGCCTTCGCATCATTCTCATAAATCCAACATCTATTCACCAGAGTAGGAAAATGAATAATTTCTTGATAGCCAATTGCAAGCTTAATGTTTGGACGTAACCCGCTCTCAAACTTAGTGCATCTAGAACAACCATCTCTAGTATTGTTAAAGTAAGGGCAAAACTTCGATAGCTCATTAAACTTTCCAGCATACTCTCCTATAGTTATACTTTCTTGCTTCAAGTTCAGAAATTCAACCTTTTTCCTCCTTAAATCTTCTGGAAAGTATTTCTCCAGAAAACGACGTTTAAATGATTCCCAATTAATCTCCCTGCCTTCAGCTTCTATTTGCTAACAAGCATATCTCCACCAGTGTTCTGCCTCACCAACCAACATATATGTGGCAAAAGTAACCTTACTTGCCTCAAGGCATTCCATAACAGCAAAAATCTTTTTAAGCTCCTCAATCCACAACTGAGCACCATTTGGATCAAAACCTCCTTTGAACTGCAAAGGGGTTATTCTTACGAAAGGCCGCCAATCCATGATACCCAACTAGTTCAACCTGCCTTTCTAGAACTTCAACCATTCGTTCTAATAATTGGTTCAAGTTAGTGTTACCTCTTTCTCGTCCAGCCATAGATTTTTGTACACACATATAATCAATCAATATCTTATACGTGAAGTAAAACTAAACAAACTAAGAATTACTCCACGCCCTAAATCTCATATCACCACTTTCTTTCAAAAATAGTAACACAAGAGCACACAGATAAGCATAACAAGCCTTTCCTCAGGCCTATAGGAACAAACTGCTCTGATATCACTAAATGTTACACCCATACTACTTATTACGCCACTAATATGAATATAATATTAAAATAATCCAAGCAATAAGAAAGTCACATGTATGAGTTTACGTCTGTTCACATAAATAGAAACTAAATACACCATCTGCACCAGTTATCCAAATACATATATACATTTATCCAAATACATAAACATATACACATAACTGAATTACATATAAAATAAAGTGGGGCCATGATATCAGAGACAACAACAACAAAAAAATGACCTCACAGGCTTTTTCCCTAGACTTATGATCATTAAAAATACCATTTCCTCCAAAAGTTAACAACAGTTAAGGATTTCCATTTACCCGTTCTCTCAATCACTAGAAATTATATATACATATATGTACAAGTTATACTTTACTCGGCCCTAGCCTACTCTCCTTTCCCACTAGGTTCCTACTCAGAGGAGTCAAAACTAGAAGGAAGTTTGGCGTGAGAAGCAGTCCTCTTCCTTCCAGTAGCAGTAGGGGTGTTTGAGCAGTGAGAGAAATCTGCAGAGTCAGAAGAACAAGAGGAAGTCGAATTAGAAGTGGATGAGATGGAGATGTGTCTGAGTAGAGGTATGTTCGCTATATTTGATCGTACAACAGGCGGTACATAAGGCCCTAAAGATCTAAGAAAATTCGAGGATAATATTGGCGGCGATAATACAGGGACAGGGGGTGGAACATAGGGTCTCATAAATTGTACTCCAAGAGAAAATGAAAAAGTAAGTCTCATAGGTACCCTGATGGGAATAGGGTATGCTCGTGGGCCTGGCTCATTTCTATCTAACAAAAAGGTAATAGTGCCAGTATGGGTGAACTGTTGTTGCTCCCATCTTCCTTCAGGATCATATTTGACTGTGACGCTGAACTGGTATGGTGGTTGAGCCATTTGTGTCCTCACCTACTAAACCTATTCACATATAACACACATAGCAACTAAAAGGGTGAGACAAACCCATTTCAACCAAAGTACAGTAGAAAACACGTCAAGATATTTACAATCGTCATAGCAAATAGTAAACAACTCAACACATAATCATACATGCCATGTATGATTTTGTGCATCACCTAGTTAATTGCTATACTAACATATGCATGAGGGCCTAAACCATTTTTTTTTCTTTCTTTCTTTCTGGGAAGGATCAGGAGTTCACTGTCACCAACCATTCTTGGTCATAACCATCTCATCAGATAGTTTCTAAGGTATAACTCAACTGATTTTGAGAATCCATCAGGTTTTGTCAGGATAGTCCGGTTTTGCAGTGAGAACCAACAGCACAGGGTTGTGAGCATTAGCCTTTGCTTGGCTCAATCACACCCGACTAACCCCAAGACTAACCTACATTCTCTCCTAGATTTCGTATACTTCCTATCCAACACCACCATCATCACATCCTTATGATGCATAAACCTAATTTCAGTCTTTTAATTAGGTATTAAACATTTCTTTTCAATCAATAACAACATATGTTTCAAAATTCCACTGACAATTCGACAGAGTTTCCTCTATAATTCTAATATTTCTAAATTTTCTTCTCTCTGCAAAACAGGCAAAAAATTTTAATACACTTCTAATTTTAAGCAAAGACTCACCATCACCACATTTCACATTTTTTCAGCCATTTCAATGGCTCTCAAATACCTTTTTCTAATTATCACCACATTTCAAAATACTCATTTAAAATAATACTTTAAAATGAACTAAAATCCTTTAAATTATTTAAATATGTATATAGGTATACTTTAAATATATAAAAACTATTAAATAAATTTTGATCAAACCACTTGAAATTAAAGAAGAATTAAAAAAAATCATTTTCTTAAGAAGAAAATTAACCACAATTCCATTTCTCAATTTCTAAATACTTTTCAAAACCCATCAAATTTTATATTAAATCTTCCCAATTTTTTTAAACATCTTTATTTTACAAGTCTCCAATTCTTTTCAACTTTCAACATTTATGTCTGTAATTAGATCCTCTTTTACAGCCCATATATTCATATTTGACCTTTATTTTATTTGAGTTTTACACTAATTTATATATTAATTGTGTAGTTTGGTATAAAGAGGCCGCAAGTGGATTTTAGGTGCATTCTGGGCTCATCTGCGGAAAGCCTAATTATGAATAGTTTTTAGAGTTTTCAAATCCTATAAAAGGGAAGATCTCATGCATCGTAAAAGAACCATTTTTTACATTTTGGCTTTGGCTCTATAATACATCTGATCTCGTCTCTCTTGCACGGGATCCTTGGCACATGCTTGGCAGGACTTGGAGCTTCGAGCGATCATACTTGAAGACCGAGAACACATCTCACACTCTAGTTTGCTATTTCTTTTTATTATGACTTTGTTTATAATTGTTTTAGTTCTTTTCTTTAGCATGAGTAACTAAGTCCATAGCTAGGGCTATGGGAACTATTGTTCATGAATTTATAGAATTTTGATATTTAAATTTAAATTTTATTCTTGTTTTGTGATTAGATGTTATCCTATTGTGCTTCTTTTTTTTAATCCTAATTAATTATATCGTCAAGCAACCGTACCTCAGTTAATTATTAGATCTATAGGGTAAAACAAGACAAAAGATTAGGTGGACCAAACCAATCTTTCTCTTTTAATTGTTATTAAATTAACAAGTTCATAGGTTCCTTAAGCTTTCTTAAATTGATGTCTTGCATGACCATTGGGGATGTTAATTTAGAGAAAAGAATATTAATATTGCATCACCATTGGGTATTAATAGTATTCGTATGAATGATTGGTAATCACAAGGAAATAAGATTTAGAGTTAAACAGAAGAATAACATAAAGGATTGAATGAGAAAACCCATATGCCCTAGGTTCTTCTCTGATAAGTTTAACCAAGACGTGTATTGTATTCCTTACTCTTAGTTTATAATTAATTTTAAAAATTTTTGTTTTTAATTAATCTCATATCTTTGAAGCTTAAACAATTGAATTAGAAAATTCTTAGTAATTAGAAATCAGTCCTTGTGGGACAATATTTTGGGAACTTAATTTAAGAACCCTTTATTACTTCTCGATGGGTACACTTGCCCTCCGAACACATACCTTCTATATGCTCACTCCACATGAATGATAGTTCATTCTTCAAGTATTTTAGGCAATCAATTATTTATACTGAATTCAACAAAATAATTATCATAAAAGCATCATCACATATAAAATCAATCTCAAAAAGGAATATCAAACAATTGTACACTAAGTATGGAAATAATTATAAATTACTTCAAATAATTTATGCATACATAGCAAGGAATAAAACACCCCATCTCCCAACATTTTTCTACTATACCCTTGAAAATAGATATGTCCCCCTTACCTTGAAGTGTATATCGATTTTTCTCATCAACGTCTTCTTTCCACCACTTCTCAAATCACGATCCTGACTAAATAATCACACATAATCATGATCAATGTTAAGAGGCATTAATCATCCAACCCTCTACTAGTGAGTTGAAACTATCATTTTCTAATCTGCACAAAAATGGCTTATGAGTCTTACAATTATTTTCTATGATGTAAATGGAATACTATAAGCCTAAAGGTGATTAAAAACTATTATTTTTCCCTCATAACACTCTTGGACAGCACCTCTAGACCAAGGGTTTTGAGCTCCTAAATGCATTTTTAACAAAACAAAAAGCACCAAAATTATTTATTATAAAACATAAAAGGATTAAGCTAACTAAAACATAATTTAGAAACAAAAATTTTGGACAAAATCTCACCCTCATTCCACTGTTCCAGCACCCAAAAAAAGGAAGAAAATAAAAAGTTTAATCGGTTCAAAGTGTTCAGAATGATGAAAATAGGCGGAATATTAAATAAATTTAATGAACCTACTTGAAAATTTAAGGGATTAAGACCAAAGATGATCAAAGTTCCTTGGGAGAAAGAAAATGGGGCTTACGGAAGTGAAGGGAAGAAGTGAGAAGCTTAAGAGACTAATTCTTATCTTAAATAGTAAAAATAATAATATAATATCATAATTTTCACTATTTTTTTTGTAATTAATTGAAATAATTAGATAAAAATTTCAAAATTTAAAAATAATCATGAAATATATTAAACATAATTATAAAATAATTTTTGACACTATTGATCCTTTAGTTGGTGTCCAAAATTTTTACACGCAATTTCTGTTTGAGCGTATAATTAATTTACTTAAAATTAACCAGAAAATCTAAAAATACTCAATAATTATGAACAAATTATTTTTATATTCTAAATAATATTTATAAACAAAATATAAATTTTTTATTTTTTTATTATATTTTTTTAAAATAAAATGTTATTTATAACTTTATACAACAATTTTAACCAGTACAAGTAGACATTTTTTGAGACTTAAAAATTTTAAAATAAAAAATTACCAATTTTTTTTTTAAAAATATACCTAACAATTTTATTTATAGCATCTCATGTTAATTCTATCTCAATTTTCTCCAAAAAATCAAGAACTATACTTTAACTTAGAACTATATTAATAAATTAATTGTTTAGAAAAAATGAGGATGTTACAGACATCACCAGACTCAAAGCACTAATAAGCAACGTTATCCCAATTACAGATGCAATATCAGCATTTTTGGGTCTACTAATTCTGGATTTCAATTAATTGTGCTCTCATATTTGTTTTTATTTTCTTACAATATAAAGTTCTTTCAAGACTTCAAA